GTCAGCCGTTCTGCTCCCATGATGCTGCTTGGCCTGCTGTGTTCATCCAGCTCTGCACCTTGTGGTTTCGGATTCTCCAGCATCTGCAGTTCCTACTATCTCTCATTGAATAGGAGTTCTCTGACTGGGGCTGTTAATCTGGTCCACTGAGGGGGCCCTGGCTGACAGATAAAAAAGGCGAGCGTCAGCTGGTGTCTGACTCATTGTGAGTCAGTACTATAGTCAAGGCCTGTCTATGTGTTATTAAGGGTGACCTCGTGATAGGATACTGACCTCTGTGGAGTTAATTCAGATTTAGAAAAGATATATTTATATATTGTTGTGTCATATTCTTCACACATCACAAATGTTTAAATGACTACTAAGCGTGATTACCGTTGCTTCATGGCTATCAGAACCATCCATTCATACACAGTAAAATCTTGCGAACCAGACCAGGAAATGAGATCATTGATCAGTTCATCTCAAGGCCAGTGGCCACAGCACAATGAATCTTCCTGCTCTTCTTCAAAAAGTGCAATAGAAACCTCTATATCCGCTGTAATGGACCTAATTTCAACATTTCATCAGTATAACACATCATGCCAGGTAATATAACTCTTCCATGGAGCAGCACGAGAGTGTATGCCTGTATTTTGACCTCACATATTGCAATAAACTGAAGATAATAACTTTGAGGGGAGCGCTATCTCAAAGACAATCCAACATGCTCAATTGCTTTTCTCTCATAAAATGCAAAATTACTTATTAAAATCCTGATGGGGAGGCTCTAAGCGTCTTTTTGGGCATCACGGTGGCTCAGTGGTTAACACAGTGCCAGGACTCCGGCTTCAATTCCACGCTTGGGTGACTGTCTGTGTGGAGTTTGTACATTCTCCCCTTGTCTGCGTGGGTTTCCTCCGGGTGTTCCGGTTTTCTCCCACAGTCCCAAGATGTGCAGGTTAGGTGGATTGGCCGTGCTAAATTGCCGATGGTGTTCAGAGATGTGTAGATTAGGGAGATGGGTCTGGGTGGGATGCTCTGAGGGTCGATGTGGACTTGTTGGGCTAAAGGACCTGTTTCCACACTGTAGGGATTCTATGAAAATCAATTTGATTTAATTTTCAGTACACTGGTCCCACTATTCCACATTATATTTAGCATTTAGGTAGTCGATTATCATGACAACATAGTTGACTGGCCAAAAGATTTGGACAGAAGAAGTTTAAACTAGTCTTATGTGTTCCAGTTGCCTCTGATTCCCAGATGTTTGAAATAATCACATTTTCAGTTTGGGAAGATGAAAGCTCTTCCTGTTTAATTTTTGCCATGCTGTCTTGTATAAAAGGACTGGTTTAAGCTGGTCCAGATGAAGTTTACATGACTTGAATGCAGCCGCTAATGTCACCTCCTGAAACACTTACACTTCAAATTAGACCTGAGCTAATTAGTCCCTACCTCATTACAAGTAATAAAACAATCCATAACAACCAATTTCTACCCTTAATGCTCAAATATAATTCGTACCACCCAATGATCTGCCAACTGAGTTCCTTAATGCTCGCTCAAGTATATGACAACAACAACGATCAGTTGCATTTTAGCCCCATGCTTGCCATTTTAATGCTACATGTGCACTGAGGTAAGCTGGAGCAAAATTTTAAAATACAATGATAGTTGGTATTGGCCGACTGGCATAAAGTGAAGAACTTTTCAACATAATGATTGCTGAAAGTCGCAATTACTGATGCTAGAAGCAGCCTTTGTAGAGTTTTGATTTTGCATTTGTACTTTGAGCACCGGATCTTGTACACTGGGATAAAAATACAGAAGAGTAAGCTAATGAAGCTACTTGAGAGGGAACTAAGTGATCCAAATATTTTCCTCAGCCATTGATGCTTCACAGTCTATAGCTACAATGTTCAGCAATCGATGACCTTGTCAATGCCAATTTATAATAAGTTCTGCACTGGAGCTTCTTTTTGGGATATACAAATTAAGAATGTACATTTATCAGGTTCAGCAGAACATCAAAAGGATGGAACATGTGAATTATTAACAGTATTTTCATGCAATTCATTACATGGAATGTCAACACACAATTTTTAAAATATGACATTCTTAGGAGTGTAATGTTATTCCCATGCATGGGACCAATTGCAGCCCTTTACCTGGACTTACCTCTCCCATAAGCCAGTTAGACTCTGTTCCTTTACAACATTATCTAGATATTAGCAACTCTACAATAATATCAAACAATAATTCCAATTTCTCAAAGTTATTACAAGACATATTCCCAGAACTCTCAGATTCTTCCCCTGTGGTGTACCTGGAACTCCTCTGAGTGCATTCAGAAGCAGGGATGTCCTTAAAATTTGCAAAACTCCAGCATCCTGTCACTGGACAATGTTTCCAGCTTCTAAGTGTTCTCCAATTTATTGCTGATTACTCAATGATCTTGTTAAGGTAACTTCAAATCACACGTCTTTAGGAAAACTTCTTTACAAAATTTCTGACTCACCATGGGGAGAAATTTATTGTCTGTCTTATGTACATAACTGCCAGATCTGCAACAGTAAGTTAAATGCTGAGGTAAAATGTGGTGTATGTAGTGACCGCTAAATGGTACAGGTAGAATCTGTTTGATGGTTGCAAATACATATAGTTTCTGGTAATAATTGCTAAACCGTTCAAACAGCTTTCAATATGACAGTTGTAAATGAAAATAGTTATCAGTAAATGAAAATAGTTATCAGTAATTGTTTATTTAATACCGAGATAATTTAAATGATTTGAGCTAAATGAATTTATATAAAATCATACTATTTAAGTATCGACAGTACATTTTTGTAGTGTATTTGAATGCTAACAATATGCAGTAATATTAATTACATCATTATACTACTTTGTATTCATACACATAATTACCACCAGCCCTTTCATGTTTCTAAGTGACAACGAAAAGACATAAATACAGCTTTGGCATGCAAATAACGCATTTAAAGCCACCAAAACTAAGAAATAAATCAGCACTGATTCACATAGTAATAGGTAAAGACTGAGCACAATGCACAATAAAGCAAATCAAAACAAATATATTTGATGAAAGAAAGTACCATCATTTGGAGTACTACAGTGAAAGCATTGTTAAAACAAAAGTGAAGTACTTTGTAGATAAACATCTTTTTGAACAGGGATAATATCAGTATTCAATGTACCTGTTTTCTATCCTAGTAAAATCACGAGCAGCTATACTTCATTGTTATCAGGAAAACATATAATGTCTTTGTCCAGTTTATATTTTCACAGGTCATTTTTAACTGCTAAAATTAGAAAATTATCTTCAATTTCTGATGAACAGTTCCTCTTGAATAAAGACTAATTGCTGTGTTATCTCAGTCAATGTATAAGAATACCTTTAAGAAGTACAGTATATCAGCATAACTTTAAGAGACATGCTTATGATATCAGCAATCTACTATGGCATGTGACCTGAAGTCTGAAGATATTTAGCACTATCTTAACTCAGGCCACTTGAAGCATGAAAAGCTGAAGCAAGCGTACACTTCTTGCAACCTATTAGGTTAACATTAGTTTGGGCACTGAAATAGTTATGAATGTCATATTTATATATATTAATGAGCTGACATAAACATTCTGTTGGACTTTTCAATACTGCACTACCCATGCCTAGTTCTCATGTTACAACTGGTAAGCTTAGCATTGTTGCAGGAGGCAAAATACCTTGCTTGAGGCAAAATGCATGTTATTGGTTAGGGTTGGTGATAATTTATAAAGAATACTCCAAGCTCCTGGAGCCAGATATTTGGAAATCTAATTGAAGATCAATTGTACAACAGCCCTGAACATTCATTAATTCAGGCAACTAGCAGCATCAGCTGTGTGAATAGAGATGTGCAGATAAGAAAAGACGGAAGACACAACTACTTTCCTTTTGATTCAAGTCTAAGTTCATGTTTCTCTTTAATTCCGCAATACTCCTTGCAGCATCGTTTTAGGACTTTCCATAAAGAAAATATAGCTAAAAATAAACTTATAAGCCGTTTTCTACTATCTGGAAGATACTCAAAGTTCAATGTAAGAATTACCTTCAGGATTAATATGCTCCAAATAGAGACAGCAATCCCAAAAATCTATCAACTTGTTTTTTTGGACAATGATGTAACAAATGGTATGCTTGTGACTTTTCTAAAGAGCAACTCAGATAGACTTATCAAATTAGTAATCACCTCTACAACAATTAAAGCCTTTAGAAAGAATCTTCTGAATAAGAAAAAAATTACCATTCTATTAACACATTATTTGAGGATGAACACAAGTACAATAGTTACACGTTTTAGATGCAGCTAATACCATTATTATGGACAGCAATTGCATGGAACTGAAAAATCTGTACCAAATGTGATTTGTCATACTCACCTAAAACCTGTCCAACTTTTCCAGATATTTACACACACACATAGCACTGAATGAAGTTGGGCATACATATGCAGGCAATCAAAGGCTAAGCCAGACCCCATAATGAAACATGGGCATCTAACAAGATGGTACAGCCCCACAATACTTGGGAAAGTATTAAGACATATGCATGAGTTTCCCAGTCAACCAATGAAAGGCAAATTTCAAAAGATAACCAAAGCTTTCCATTTTACACCCAACGTCAACAGTATAATATGATCAGAAGCTTTTGCAGCCATTATCAAAAAATCGTTTGAAAAGGCAGATTGATAAAGCTTTAAAACTGCAATCAGCACAAGGGCTAGAGCCAATATACATCCTGAAAGACATATATCTAAATCAGTGGCGATCCATAGTACAACCTGCAAAAGACCATGTAACAGCATATACCATGACCAATTCTATGCATGGATGAAATCACACTGCAGTGTTAATATTTAATCTCATTTTGGCTTCCCAAAATGTCCTACCTCATAGAAACCAGTCCAATAGTGACAGCCATACCGATATGCAAAGATTTTGGTATAGTCTCAATCCACGAAATTCAAACCACATCTACGGTGGTGAAACAGATCATGCATAATGTAAATGAAGCAGATGAAGTTGAAGATATTCTTCAAGTAGGTCGGTTATACTTTGGCCAGAGCCAGTATAAATAGCTCCAAACAACAACTACCAAAGATGAGTATCTCCAAGCGTTGCAAAAGACCATCATTTGGGAAGATTGACAGTACTAAACAAGTACTGTCACAGTACCCGAGAATATTTGTTCATTTTGGCAATATAGAGAAGTTGAACTAGTCGTCTAATCACAAGTAATCACAGGTCATTTACAAGGACAAACAAGTTCTAATGCTCAAAGCATTGTACCAAGATATCATGTCTATGTTAAACCAGGGACAAATGTACGCGATCGTTAGCCCTTGAATCTATGTACTGGCCAGTGTTGGATCTGGATAGTCACTAACTTGTGAATGCCTATGAGACATTCAAAATGTATCAATCCCAGTAGTGGAGGGTGCCTGTGCAAGACATCATGTTCTATTGTCTGCTTAAACTGTATCCACAGTGCATGGGGAAAATTACATCCTTGGCTTCTCCAAATTTCCTATTGTAACAACAATGATTTAGCAACACAAGAGTAACCATTCCTGATTTGATTACTGCTATATTCAATTTATTTGGTGTCCTGGATGGATGGTATCTTCAATAGTTCACTGGTGAACCATTTAAAAATACTTGTGCACTAAGTGAGGTGTGACCCATATCACATTCATCGGCCTACTACCAATTGGTCTAGCAAAGTGTATGATCCTTTCTATTAAATCAATGCTCATCAGGTGGCAAGCTACAAGATTTTCACATCGTATTGCTGCACCCTCATGCAACATCAATGGGGAAGAGATGACTATCCTCAGCACAACTTATGCTCAGCGACCAAACGTCTAACCATTCTGAGGTACCTGACATTCTTCTTCAAAGACAGAGGAGAATAAAAGAGAGAGATGATAAGTGAGCAGGTAGAGAACTACCACAACTTAGCCCTGAGAGAATGTGAGTTGATTAACAACGATTGTCCATAAGTTGAACCTGACAGCAACAGATGTTCAGAGATTTGAATTTTATTGTACACTAAGAGTTTGACACCAACACCATTTTCAATCTTTCCCTTCTGAATATTTCCTCTGACCAGAAGCCAAATCCCACTGGATAAGAACCAAGTTCCCTTTTTTTGTTAGAGAAGAAACCCATTTATCAAATCACCAAATGAACAATTAGCAAAACAAAACTGACCAGTTGCATTGTAACTTAACGAAAAAAAAAAGGAAAAACTAGTGGGAACTAAATAAAAGCAGCACTCAAGGGGGAAATGGTACATCCCATAGCACCTATCTCAAAAAACTTAAGGGTACCAGTGGGCACCAAGTCCACCTTCTCCAATAAAACCCAGGCACATATATAGCCACAGAGGAAAGGCAGGCATGTAGTCAGGTATTAAAACACCCATGGGCTGCTGCCTGGACCTGTTAAGGGCTACTTTTGCCAGGTCTGGAGCATCATAGTAGGGTCTTCCCCTCTGTTTTGGGTGTCCAAAGATCAGGAGCGTGGGACCCAAGTCCAACCAAAAGAATAAAAGAAGTTTTTTTCAAATAACCAAAAGGTTGTTGCAACCACCCATAAGCAATATATACTTGAAGCCACTGATTCCATGGCACTACAAAACTGACAGTTGATCTGGGAGTCCACGAATCATATTCAACTCATGACTGCACAGGTCTGCTGCACGGAACACCCTCTACAACAGGTCCCTGGTGAAAAGAGTGAAGGACTCCCACATTGAGGGCCCTCTACTGGGGACCTCCCCACTGCCCACTGGTAAAAGGGAATGCCTGAGCAGCAAAAAAAAAGAAGAAATGGATGGAGCAGCAGCAGCTGGTATAAGAAGCCTCTCCTGAGGTGATTCTGAAAGCTGGGGCCAATGTGGAATTCCATCTGAGCAGGGGTAAGCACAGAAAGGAGACCACCACACACCTGAACCTCTCCAAACGATGAATTTTATCAGATTTGAACTGTTTTCAGAATGTAAAGAACCCAGCTCTTTTATATTTTCTAATCAACCTGTTCAGTGATGTTATTATTCACCTCTGGAGCAGGTGGGACTTAAACCCAGGTAGGGACATTACCACTGCACCATGACAGTCCAGAAGAACCCAGCTTTTTTATTGGGCTAAGCCTGCCACCAGCAACTGTGGTGTGGGGTCATCATCACACAAACAGCTACACTCACCCCCAGCAGAAAAAAAAAATTACCTAATCTTTTAAGGTGTATTGATGTTGTTCATAACCGTAGTGCAACTGAAAAGACTGACATTGTCAACCCAATATGAGAGTTTAATTCAGCACATCATTTTCATTGTTTTCTCAGAGACAGTGCCAAGTTATGACTGACCTCTGGATATAGTTATGTGACAGACAGATCAAGATTGATATGCTCTAACCAATCTGTTCAGTGATGTTACGACACATTCGGAGCATGTGGGACTTGAACTGCTGGCTCAAAGTGGGTAAGAACACAGCACTCTTTCTTTTTCCATTTTTTTTTCTTTTCTTCACATCAAGAGATGCTTTAGTGCATAACTGATTGGTTTAGTTGCACTAGCAAAATACCCGTGAAACTTTGTCACCTTTCATCTGTCACCATTAAATCAACTGTGTTTACAATTAATAACCAATTTATATGCTGAGCCTGTTAAGAGAAATGCAATGAGATCAAAGGGGACAGAAAGGTAGGGAGAGAGGGAGGGGATTAAATCCAAATGGAGTTGGATGGGTAGAGAATGCCCTCCAGCCTGACCTGTCTTTCAAATTCATTGGGAATATCGATGGATTCCAAGTGCTTGGGAACTATGATCCCCTCCAAGGCCTGCTGCCTGGATTGTTAATGGCCACTTTGGCCAGTCCCTGGAGCAGACCCATGAGGACGTACTCAACTTGATCGCACCAGGTACCCAAAGATTAGGACCATGGGGCTGAAGTGCAGGCAAAAGAGCAGTAAGATTCTGGAACCTGGGGTAAGAGCCCAGCTCTTAAATACAAAGCCTCTTGAGCATCACCAGCTCTCGATCAACACAAGAGCTACTCTGCTTTGCCCGTTAAAAGGATCTGCATTTCTGACACTGATACTGACATAAATACTTGGATACTAACAAATGTTTCCCATATGTGTAACCAGCCCAGATCTTACAATGATGATTTGATCATACTGAACATCATGCTATATTGTGAAGGGACAGAAGCCACCTCATAGTTTTAGACAGAGAGTGAGGAAGAAATCTCTGTTGATGATATCTGTGCAGTTTTGCTGAATAACAGCAACCAGTTGTAAGACCACCAAGTCAAACGACAGCAACAGAGAACAATATCCATCTCTGCAGATGTGTATATGATCAGCAGATTAGGTCAAACTTCCAAATTATTACTTTGAAGGTTGAAATGTTAATTTTGTAAACTCTTCTTTGCCATTTGTATGATTATTGAATTGACAACCTTTGCCTATTGTACAAACATGCATAATTTTGTTTTTTTTAAAATCTTTTGTAAAAGGGGATGCTGTTTTAGTCACAATAAATACATCAGTAATCTTTTAAGAGAAATAGTCATCATATCAGCTCTGCATCATTTCACGTGACATGAGAGTATAAAGGTCTCAGAAGCCATCTAAACACAGACCACCTGAAGCATGACATGCTAATGCAAGCATGCCACTCTTTGTAATCGAAAAGCTTAATGTTAGCCTAACCACTGAAATGCCTGTGAATGTAATATTTGTGTCTATTAGTGAGTTGTAATAACCATTCTGTTGGATTCTTCATTACCATCTTAATCTAATTTTTACATTGCAAGGGATTAACAGAAACATTGTTGTATTGGGTTAAATACCCTGCTGGAGGCAACATGCATATCACTAATTAGATTGCAAAAAATTTCTGACGTCAATAAAAACAGTTCGGCAATTCCTCTCTATTTCCTCATTCAAGTCAGAAAAAGTCCAGTGGCTGGTAAATGTCAAATCTTTTACTTCTAGTTGGACAGTAAAGATCGGCATAGTTTGGAGATCTCTTATCAAATTGAGACGAAGATAGACAGCTGGTGGTCTTGACTTTCAGGCTTGTTCTTCAGCCATGAAGTTATTCTTAAATAGGCAAGGTAACACACAGACACACGTATGTCCATTACTCCCTAATTGATATGAGGACACGTTAATAATACAGCACAGATGGTAAGATAAGAAATTGTTTATTATAATAATGGTAATTCAAACTTACCATCTGTGTCTAAAGCAGTATCAACTAAAAGCCAAAGATCATCAGGGTCAGTTTCAAGTGAGCACATTTTGCAAATCAATTCAATATATTAGTATTTGCACCATTGTATTACGGAAGTAGCACAACGATATCGTGGACACAGCAAAGAAGAATCTGTTTGTTGACACCACACATGCTTACAAAACTAATACAGTGATTGAATTTCAAAAGAAAATACTTATTTTATTTTAATTTTATGAGACAACTGTAAAATAACAATATCACAATATAACAATATCAACAGCATCACAATATCACAATATCATTTTTTTTTCTGAAGAAGGGTCTAGACCCGAAATGTCAGCTTTCCTGCTCCTCTGATGCTGCTTGGCCTGCTGTGTTCATCCAGCTCTACACCTTGTTATCTCAGATTCTCCAGCATCGGCAGTTCCTACTATCTCTGAATATCACAACATACTTGTTTACAGAAATACTCTCATTACTTTTTCTAACTAAAGCACTGTTGACAATTTCCAACTGCTTGTGTGCACACAATATTGAACTAAGTTTTGAAATTTGACGTAAAAGTTCTCCTTTGTTTTACAGCTGATTTTGGTGACCCGATATACTGTTTCATTAAAATATTATTAATTGGTACTGGTAAGTGTTTGTAACAATCTTCATAAGAAATATCGTTCATAATTCACATACTTTTGCATGTACTTTGATAACATCTTTATGATGTAATCTTAATAGATATGCAGCGTAAATATTAATTATTGACTATTACCTTCTATATTTTTTTTTCTGGAGATGTCATGGAAAATGAAGAGAAGAAAAGATGTCCTAAACCTCTTGCTATACTATACAAGGCCAAGACAGAAGGGTCAAGAACAACTTGCATTTATAAGGCATCATTACTATAGAAAAACATCCCACGGTGTTAGGCAGAGGCTTAATAAGAAAATAAATAAGTTTGAAGAAGAAACCTTTGTGGACAAAGTTAAGGGCAAAATCCAATATTTCATCTAAATATCTCATTATGTTGATTGTTTCTCACCCTCATGTTAAGCAAAACATTTTAAACCAAGCTGCCCAATAGGAAACTGAGCAAATTAGATTGGCCTTTATTTCTATACTTAGTCAACTCTTCACTTCCATT